TCCCTAGACCTGACTGAGGATTATTCCCCTTAGACTATGAAATATGACCACTTGGTTAAAGCACCTGTTTTTGCCACATGCTGGCACATGGTGCAGATTGGCATAGCATGGTACCGTACAGAAATTTGTCCACCCCTCTTGACCAATAACTGCTAACAGCCATGACAAGCTGCCTGGCATTATACCTACACTGAAAGGCAAAACAAGACAGAGGTCATGTGAAAGTTTATGCTCTGGCTGAGAGAGAGAAGCACTAAAAGGCAAGGCAAGGCAGGGATGCTATAAGCATCCAAGCAGGAGCAAAGTCAGCAAGTGTTAAGAGAGTGAGTGAGATGCACCCTGGTTAGATCCCTAAGATGGGTATTTGTTCCCGTACATAGAGTGTCCAGGCAGCAGCATTCTGTCAGTCCACGCTAAAGTGCAGCACTGAACTGCAAAACCGTACATTAAGTAGATTGGAGATGTACCATGAGGATGCGCCGAGGCTGGTAGGTGCCCAATGCCAATGTATGTGAATGGAGATGAATGCCAGCACCGTGGAGCATATCCTGAGATTTTTGTGACTGATTTCCATGATGGAAGGTCACGGGAGCAACCCGTGAGCTGGAATTGCCAGCTATCTCTTCTGAGTTTCATGCTGGGAATATTTTTTGCCATCTAGCGTCTATCCAATGGGTGGGAGAATGAGGCAAGATTAACTAATAATGCCACGTTAATCCATGCAAATGGTGTAAATAGGCCTCGCACTGCTAACTAACGAGATCCTCATCTCACCGTTAAACATACAGTTGGAGAATTGGACATTTTGCCCTCGACATTGAGAATCTCATTATTGACAATCTCATCCGAATATTGTTCAGAGACTGAGAAGATTCCACCTATTATTTTGAAACAGACACCACAAGTTAATTTCTGTAATCTGATGTAATCTACCATTTGCATTTCCTTCTGTTTGGTCTTACTTGTTAATAAACCCAATGCACAATTTTAACCCAGGATGTACAGTTGTGAAATGTTATTTATCTGATTGCAGTTTAAAGTGGAAGATGTCAGCATTGGTAATCTATAGTTGTAAGTATGTATCCCATCAGGGTGAGGGCGAAATGTTTGCACTGATGTATGCTATCCCAAATCAATTTGGGTAAAAAGATCACGTTTTGCTTCAGAAAACAGGTGTCTTCACACTAGGCCTGCAATTGCCTTAAATTTAGAAGGTTGAGAGGGGATCTATATAAAGTGTTAGAAATGAGGAAAACGTTTCCAATGCAGATCAAATTCAAACAGTAAGAGTGGGAGAAATTCCTGCTCAGCTTTGTAATGGAAAGTAAATTGGAGATTCTACCATCACTATCCATAGCTCCAGCCTACACATACTTTCACAATTGGGATTGATGGAATTTTGTTCTATTAGGGCATAAAGGGAGAAATGTAGAAACAAAAGAGTGGATGAATAAAGTTATGGCACTGATCAGCTATGATCTAGTAGAACACGGGTGGCCAAATTTTCTGAACCTGGGAAAGGTTAAGTCATGACCTTTTGGTTAAAGTACCTCAGTGTTTGCCACAGGCTGGCACATGGTACAGGTGTCAGATTGGCATTGGACACATACCATCCTCACGGTACATCTCCAATCCACTTAAAAAAACAGTTTTGCAGCTCAGTGTTTGACAAACTCTGGATGTTTGAGAGACTCAAGAAACTGACAATCTTTACAGACACATTTTTATGAGTATTGGTCATGCTTTTTAGGCACGCCCTCCTCACTGCTTCAACTCATATGTTCTCTAGACAGTCAGCCCTCAGGTCCTCATTCATGCCCTTGTATCCATCCCACCCACTCACTCATGCCCTCCCACCCATCTTCCTCATTCAGTCACACACGCCCTTCCTTCCCACTGAGTCGTACTTACTGAGCTCCTCCTCCTCCTCCAACCTCCCTGTTATGTGCATTTCTGCATTGTGCCCTCATGTGGGAATTGAGAGAAGCTGCTGTCAGGGCCCAAACCCAACCACCACCAGGGCACGACCCAATTCTTCAGAATGGCCCAGGTTAATGTCCCTACTTTAATAACCATTACAGTTCAATTATCTGTAGGTCCTCACTTCCTCCATAGAAAATAACATGAGTAAATTGCAAGCTGCAATTTGGACTGATGCAATGGAGAGGCATCGTCTCCCAGGATGACCACCAGAGCAAGCCACAATACCAGACCCTGGCAGTCTGCTGCCAGGGGAATAAGAGTAGCCTCCATGGTCCAGAGGGACAGCCAGCAGTGCCACAAGAAGATCAATGATCTTTTCTGCTTGGCCAAGGAAAATACCACACACTTCCTTCGACAACCTCACACTCTCTCTATCTCTGCTACTCCAAACACACGTCCCACTAAGGCTTATAAGAACATAACATAAGAACATAAGAACTAGGAGCAGGAGTAGGCCATCTGGCCCCTCGAGCCTGCCTCGCCATTTAAGAAGATCATGGCTGATCTTTTTGAGACTCAGCTCCACTTACCCGCCCACTCACCATAGCCCTTATTTCCTTTAATGTTCAAAAATTTATCTAGCCTTGCCTGAAACACATTCAGCGAGGTAGCTTCAACCGCCTCACTGGGCAGGGAATTCCACAGATTCACAACCCTTTGGGTGAAGAAGTTCCTCCTGACCTCAGTCCTACATCTGCTTTCCTTTATTTTGAGGCTATACCCCCTAGTCCTAGTTTCACCTGCTAGTAGAAACAACCTCCCTGCCTCCACCCTATCTATTCCCGTCATAATCTTATATGTTTCTATAAGATCTCCCCTCATTCTTCTGAATTCCAATGAGTATAATCCCAGCCTACTCAGTCTCTCCTCATAATCCAACCCTCTCAACTCTGGAATCAACCAAGTGAATCTCCTCTGCACCCCCTCCAGTGCTAGTATATCCCTTCTCAAATAAGGTTACCAAAGCTGCACACAGTACTCCAGGTGTGGCCTCACCAGGACCCTACACAGCTGCAGCATAGCCTCCATGTTTTTAAACTCCATCCCTCTAGCAATGACAGACAAAATTCCATTTGCCTTTTTAATTACCTGCTGCACCTGCAATCCTATTTTTAGCGATTCATGCACAAGGACACCCAAGTCCCCCTGCACAGCAACGTGCTGCAATTTTTTACCATTTAAAACATAGTCCATTTTGCTGTTATTCCTACCAAAAT